ATTTTTAGAATAAAATGTTTAAGATATAAATGAGTATTAATATGTATGATTAAAATGGTATTGACAGGGGTACTAGCTATATTATATATTTATAAATTTGTTTCTTTGTTATTGTTGTTCTTTCTTTTTTTTTCTTTTTCTTTCTATATAATATATTGTGTAACTTTAGGATGTGCTAAACAGAATCCCAATACAAGTTATGTGTGATATTAAGTATTATTAGGTTAGGGGAAAGAGTTAAAGGCGTCATACTCCAATCAGTGTACAGGAGAGGTTTTGTTTAAAGAGAAAAGGTGAATGGATAGTTGAGAACAGACAAAGAATGACAAGTATTATGATTTGAACTGAGATGAGATAGGTAGAATAAAACTAAGAGAGTTTAAAAAAGGAAGAAGCTATATAGAAAATGGAAAACGGTAATAAGATATGGAATGATATATAAAAAGAACATGATTTTTGAAGTGGTGTCTGTACGATGAGTTTTAACCCGGGATCAAGCAACTTTCAGAAAAGATGTTTTATGTTTTTATGTTTTATGTCTTGTCTGTTTTTGTATTGGAAGAGAATAATGAAAATGTATAAGACAGATGGATATAAAAAATGTATACAATCTAAAGTTAAAGAGATATAATTTGAATAAATAGAAGGAAAGGAAGTAATAAAGAGAAGTTCGGGATAAGATATGAAGATGAACAGATAAGGTAAATATATATATTAAATTGTGTTTGTATGGAAATGTGATAACTTGGAATAATTCTGTCTTTAAATAAGATGTATTGGTTTTTTTAGAAAAAGATTTCTTATGTCATCATATTTTATGTTTTGTTTGTTTGTATATTGTTTTGTAAAATCAATAAAAAATTTAAAAAAAAAAACTCTTCTTGAAACCATACAGTACCTGGTTAAATGATCTATGCCAAACAATCATATCCTCATTAATGGCTAATTCTTGTCCTTTTGCAGCACCAGGATCTACTTTTCCAATCTTGCATCTCTGGAAAGTGGAATTGGGAAAGACAACTATGTTTATGATATCAAATCGACCTTCAATCTTCTTTTGATCATAAAAAGTCAAAATTTCTCCAAGAAAATTGTTGAATTTCATACCTCTAAGAAATTGGTGGAGCTATATGATTTAGGAATAATAAAACAAGTAAATAAAACAATAGAAATGTATGAGCAATTTCATCATAGTTGTACTATTCTTTTGAGGGAAAAACTCTGGAAACATGCAAAGTCCATTTCTCCAGCAATTTCCAAACTGTTCCTGACTGTTCCTTTCCAAACCCACCCATTTTTCATTGCATAATATTTTCACAGTTATTTGGCTGATGAGAACATGGTAAGTACTGAAGGATAATTGGCTCAGCTAAGTGGCATTCCTCTATTATCTTCAGTAAAAGGTAAAAATACTAAAAAGCCATAATGATTTTAAAAACTAAGTTTTTGATTATTAGTTCACTTAAGCCTTAGTTCTATCATCTGAAGATAACCTGAAGATGAACAGATAATAAAACATACTACAATGATGGAAATTAAATGATGCAGATTATCAATAGACAATTGTTCAAATCTATGTTGCAGTTGCTTTTTCCCCTATTTTGCTTATGCGGCACAAGTTTACTAGGCTTTACTATTACTAAGAAGCTAAGCCCAAGAATGATATTAAAAAATTGAACCAGAATTCAAGTTTTTATTTGTTTACACACTGTTGGTAAAATCTTCCCATACTAAATGCTTACTACTCACATTCTTATGGACCATCTTTTGCTGGTCACATCTACCATCAGAGCAGGAAGGCAAGGAACATTGTGGGTTCCAACCCCTATGGCAGGGGTCAGCAACCCATGACTCTGGAGCTACATGTGGCTTTTTAATCCCTCTGCTGCAGCTCCTTGTCACTCAAAATATGCATCATATACACCAATGTGTGACATTCAGCAGCACATTATTGTGCTTTTCAACCCAGCATCTGTTGCATGCCGAAATTAAAAAAAAAATGTTTTCTCTATAGCAGTTCATTGATTTCATAATAAAAAAATTAAAAAGGTCTGAATGGCAATGTAGGATTCCAACAACACAACTTAATTTGGGGCAATTGAAATCACAAGACTTGTGTGTTCTTGTCTTCTACTCCCCAATGTCCATGAGCAGTGCTTTTATATATTTTCTTTTCTCGAATGGCTTCTTCAACTGTTTACAGATTTGAGGAAGGGAGAAAATTATCACCATTGGAATAATTTCCATGGGGAAAAAATTATATACCTATTATGTGCATATACATATATAGTATATATACATATATGTATACATATGCACACATATATACATACGTTACATTTACTATCTCTTTATGACATAGAGAGGTAGTTTAGAGGGGGGCTTTAATTCATCTCGTAGCTGAACTTTGAGCATTAAAACTTTGGTCATTTCTCACTTTTTAGCTAAAAATATTTTTACATTTATGCAACATTCACCATAATCAACACTGGACACATTTTTTTAAAAAGTGTATTTCTAGAGCAAAATGAACGATTGCAAATATCACTTCCCAGGGTATTTGGGGTATTTGTCCCATTTGTAACTTTTAGGCCTTGTTACATTGTCATATGAATAACACAATAGATCAATCACATTAATTTGCAGAGGCTGATCCACATCTATCTGGAACGGATCTTGGCCTGAATGCTGACTGAAACAGATCTAGGTAATCTGCTTCATTCAAGGCCTTCTGAACCAGTTGTGCAGGGAAATGTTTTACTGGTGATGGGATTCAGCTGGTTCACACTGGTTCATGGAAACCAGTTGTAAAATTACTCCCTCCCTCCCTGCTATCAAAGTGGATCCTGGGCACTGTCTTGCACTGCAATGGAGAAACGGGCAATGGAGCAGCTGATGCAAGGGAATGAGAAGGCTGCTTTCCCTCCTTCTTTTCCCTGTTGCTCCTCCCTTCCCTCATGCTGGCTGCTCTGTTGCCCATTTGTCCCTTGCAGTACAGCACTCAGGATCCACTTTGTTAGCAGGGTCATGGAAATTTAGCAACTGGTTCACAAATTGTCAAGTCCATCACAGGAGGCTTGTCTCGCATGTGGGGCGGAGCTAGAGGGTGGAGATGGGCCTCTTTAAGGACCTCCTAAGAATGGGGTGAGGTGCATGGTAGACAGTTTGAGGATGAAGTTGGGAGCGTTTGAGGCTGTAGCAACAGAGCTGGGTAGGGAATCCAGGCATTAAACACTCTGTTGCTGAAATCATATTTTCTGTAATTCAGTTTGGAGTAGTTTATTTACTAAATTTATATTGGCCCCTATTCACCAGTGGCGACTCGAGGCAGCTTATACAATGTAAAAGAATTTTTTTTAAAAAAAACAATAAAAACTAACAAAAAGAATTAAATAAATACAATAGAACAAAATTTGGAAAAAATAAATAAAAATAAAAAATCATCTCGCAACTCCCATCCCCTGCCCCAACGACAGCAGATCTTATTCCTCATTGGATGGACTTCATCCCACTCTAGGTTCCCCAAAGCCTATTGGAAAAACCAGATCTTCAGTGCCTTCTGGAAGAATTCTAGAGTGGAGGCCATTGTAATCTCAGGGGGAATGATATTCCAGAGAGAGGGAGCCACCATGGAGAAGGCCCATTTTCTGGGTCACACCAGGTGTATCTCCCTCAGGGATGGGACCCGCAACATTCCCTGCCTCCCTATTCTAATGGGTTGGATAGATGTGACTGGCAAGAGACATTCCCTCAGATAACCTGGTCCCAAGACATGAAGTTTATCTTGAGTTTGTATCGATTGTTTGTCCGTGTATTATTATGGTCGAAGCTGAAGAAGTAAGTAACAGGCAAGATGTTGTAGCAGACAATATTGTGTACTATGATTAGATCTGACTGCAGATGATGCAATTCCAGATTGTCTAAGTTCAAAATTTTAAGCCTGAAGGCATTCTGTTGATGAAACACTCAAAAATTCTAATGTGATATGGAAATAATTTCACACTGCTAGACTACAAACTATTCTCATAATGTGGGAGTGATCCTTACTCAAGATAAAGAAGACTCTGATCTTTTCTTATTTTATAGGTGAGATTCCTATTCCATAAATTTTATCTATAATAAATCTTTGTAACGAATGGTCAAACAGTTTCCATTTGAAGTACTGGACTATTGGATTTGACAAATTGTGATTCCATTGCATTTGAAAAGAGACTACAGTGAACTACGTACAAAACAAAACGATGGAGTAAATGTAGCACTGTAGATAGGAAGGGGAGGAATGAAAGGCAAATATCTCATGAAGAAAGGAATGGTTTGATAAAAGAAATCCACATACATCTTAATTCCATATCTTGTCTCACTAAGCAAATTGCTAAGTTAGATGTATTAACATCCTTCCAATAATTATTCAGGATTTATAGATATTTTACTTCTGTTTTGCTATTAAAATGTGTGCTTGCTAATAACAACTTATCACCACAACATAATAAGTAAAAAATAGAAACTCAAAGCAAAAAAGAAAAAACAATATTCTTAGTTATAAAAGTCCTTAGCTATAAAAGAAATGCATTTATCGACCTTGTGTGATCCTGTTCAGTCTAGAATTCACACTCTTGGATTTTCACTTTTAAAAAAGCAAATTGTTGATAGAAATGTTGATCTTCAGTATTTCAACTTCCCCTTTGTGCTTATATTTTAATTTGATATTTCTTTAAATGCAATTGAGTAATTTGAGACTCTTTAGGTGGATATTTAGAAAACTTTAATTCGTTGACTAGACAACAGGTTCTCTCTGGATTTGCTCAAAACATACTAGTATTCCCCCAATAAGTTCTGTGAGCCTCTTATTCCATCAAGATTTCTGAATTACATCTAAATCAGAATGGAACACCTCGCTCTTCAAAAAAAAAAAAAAAAAGAATAACTTAAAACTTAAATTTTGAATTTTGATGTTTCTCCTCTCAACTTTGAAATGCAATAATAAAAATGAAAAAAGGTATTTAAATAAATCTTCTTATCAATTGTTCCCTATTATTTAAACCAGGCCTAAATACAATAATATAGCACTTGGGGACAAATATACATCCTAGAAGCACTGCACTAGAACACAAGATAGAGAAGATCTCCACAGCCACCATGGCTTTTCCCCTGGTGCTCAGATAGGTTGGAACAAAAGAGACCCACACACTGCAGAAAGCCAACATGCTGAAGGTGATGAACTTGGCTTCATTAAAGGTGTCAGGCAGTTTACGAGCCTGGAAAGCCACAATGAAGCTGGCAAATGAAAGGAGGGCCATATAACTCAGGACGCAATAAAACATAACAGCTGAACCTTCATTGCATTGTAGAATCATTTCTTCAATTGCTGAATGCATGTCTAATTCTGGGAATGGGGGAGAGGTGGATAACCAAACAATACAGATGCTTGCTTGGAATAGAGAGCAAATAAGTACAATAGAAACAGCCAGTCTCTTCCCCACCCATGTCCTCATCCGGGATCCTGGCTTGGTGGCCTTGAAGGCAAGAGAAACAAGGATTGTTTTGGCCAACACACAAGAGATGCACAATGAAAAGGTGAGGCCAAATGCAGACTGTCTGAGGAGACAGGTGACTCTTCCAGGTTGTCCAATAAAGAGCAAAGAACAGAAGAAGCAAAGCAGAAGGGAGATGAGGAGAGTGTAAGTGAGATCCCGGTTGTTAGCTTTCACAATAGGACTGTCTTTGTGCTTAATAAATATTCCCAACACCCATGTTGTAGTGAGGAAAAACAAAGTAGCTACAGTGGTTAAAATGAGTCCTAAAGGTTCTTCATAAGACAAGAAGCTAATAGTTTTCATGATGCATCCATCTTTCTTATGGTTTGCATATTGGTCATCAGGACATTGAAGGCAAGTAACAGTATCTAAAAAGAAAAAAATATCAACACAGATTCATAACAATGATCATTATTAATTTTCATATTTATCCACACCCTGATGTTTATACCTTTGTACCAAATATAGGATCTACAGTATGAAAATACATTTGAATATCTCCTTATGTATATTTTGTGTGTTGTTGTATTAAGTCAAATATTAATTGGATTATACACAAGGAAAATTAGCAAACACCATAAAAATCCATTTTATCTTGATTTGCTTTCTTGTGATAAAGGAGCTCTCCAACGATGATTTATGAATATCTGAAGTGATCATTTTCATATTTAAAACCATATTGACTTATTGAATATTGGACCATATTGATCACATTTCAAAATATGGTTCATAAGTATTCAGCAAATACTTATAATATTTGAATACAATAAATGTGTATACAGAGAGACACATACAGAGAGAGATTATATACAATATATTTATATATCTAAATAAATACAATAAAATATAATAAATAAAACTGAATAAATATTCAACAAATTGAAAGTGAAAATGAAAGATAATGTATCAAGGAAGAAATTGTAAAAAGTGAGTAATTACATATTTCTAGTGAAAACTATAAAGAAAATGGGATTATTTGTTTCTGTAGGAGAAGTATATATATCCCTTTTTATTTAATACTGATATTTTTGCTTTTTTTCTATGTTTCTTTTAACATTTGATTTCTTGTTCTTATCACCATTTTGGAATCAATCAGCATTATATATAAAATACACCTAGGTATTACACATCCACTATGAGGAAAATCTGAATAAGAATTTTTCAACTAACCAAATTGTGCAGAAAGGATAGATAGATAGATAGATAGATAGATAGATAGATAGATAGATAGATAGATAGATAGATAGATGAAATGAAAAATAAGAAAGATTTAAAGTAGCAAGTAATTTAATTATATTCCTCATTATGTCTATAGGATCCTAATTATTGTTAGTTTCTGTAATTTGTCCACTCTTCCTAAGAAGTAAATGTTCATTTTCATCAATTTTAGAAATTCTTGATTTCATTATTGCATTTCAAAAGTTTCCTGATTTCGTTGGTGCACTGTGGAGGTGTTTGGATTGCATAGTAGTACAAATGTTTCAATTTAAATAGCAAGACATCACTTCTGAAATCCTTCTTTCCTTCTTTCCTTCCTTCCTTCTTTCCTTCTCTCCATCCTTCCCAGTCATTGTATTACATATAGTTTTTAAGTTGTATGATCACTTTCTTGTTGTTTCTTGTTTTTTCATTTAAAAATAAAATGTCTGAAATAATTATTTGTGTGTGAGAGAGACTGTATTCCCTATAACGCAAATATTTCTGAATCTCCACTATGATGGTTGTTTGGGTATAAAGCTGAAACCATTCCAAGATTTATTTAATTAATTAATTGAAACACTGTGTTTGTTGTTGTGTTATCATCATCACTTGTAATTCCATTGTTGGAATCTATAATTTTTCATGTATTAATGAATTTGATTTCACTGCCTGTTTAGTTTCCAAAAAAACTCTTATCCATGCACAACCAGACAATTTAATTAGCTGAAAGTGTTCTACATAATAGACAGTATAACAACAAAATCAGATGATTTGTAAACTTACCCATCTGTTTGGAGATTTCTCCTTCCGGGCAAGGAATGCAATCATAACAGCAGAATTTTTTTCCTTCCTTTTTTCTTTTCCGATATCCATGGTGACATTGTTCATTACACAGAGAAATGGGAAGCACCTAGTTATCAAAATTAAAACGTTGGAAGATGAGGATTTATTATTTTCAAGAAAATTCAGTTGTTACCCTGAAGATGGATTACATTGTTACATTAAAAAGAAAAGTCCCATCTAAAGATTGTAAAACAAGAAATTGATTGGATTTGATGATTTATTTGAAAAACAATTAAGTATATTTCAATTTGCCCTCTGATTTTATTTTGTGAGCACAATTGACCAGGATTTCCAGTTTTTGTTTGATTAAATCCATATGAGAATTTCAAGATAATTCAGACCATCAATTTCACCAGAAACATTGAATCAGTCAATCATAGATTTGCGCAGAGATTTGATAAAGCTTCATTCAGCAAGAGAAACATGGTCTCTTCAAAGGATTGTTTTTCTTTCTCATTTACATTAAACTATATGAGGGAAGTCCAATAAATGTAGTGCACAATACCAGATATTGTTAGCTTTTAACAATGACAGAGAGAAAAAACATAATCTGGTTATCTTCATGGGTTGTCCAGGAGAATAAAAGTAAATATGCCAATCTAATAAATCCATATGTGATGTTTCATTAATTCAGTTTATCAATTTGATCAGATGGATCGAACCAATCAAATTTAGAATAGAAAGAAATAGAGTAGAGTAGAGTAGAGTAGAGTAGAGTAGAGTAAAATAGAATAGAATAGAATAGAATAGAATAGAATAGAATAGAATAGAATAGAATAGAATAGAATACCAGGGTTGGAAGGGACCTTAGACGTCTTCTCGTCCAACCCCCTGCTTAGGCAGGAAACCCTACACCACTTCAGACAAAGGGTTATCCAATCTCTTTTCTAAAACTTCCAGCATTGGAGCATTTACAACTTCTGGAGGCAAGCTGATGCACTGTTCTGTCAGGAAATTTCTCCTTAGTTCTAAGTTGCTTCTCTCCTTGATTAGTTTCCACCCATTGCTTCTTGCCCTACCCCCAGGTGCTTTGGAGAATAGCTTGACTCCCTCTTTCTCTGATACCAATTTGCTTTAAATTGCATCAAAGTTATATCCAACCAAGAAAATATAGTAATTTAAATGCATTTATTCCCTGACACATTTTCATTTTGCTATTTGGGGGGACTCTAATAATGTGCCCAATATTGGTGATGTTAGTCTTCCACATTTAAATTTCATTTTTTAATTTGGCTCTTTCTCATGGTTTGCCTGGAAGAAGAACAGCAAATTTCCAAGTCAAAAGAATCCCTTTGAGAATGGTCATAAAAACTCTTCTTGAAATCATACAGTACCTGGTTAATTGATCTATGCCAAACAATCATATCCTCATTAATGGCTAATTCCTGTCCTTTTGCAGCACCAGGATCTACTTTTCCAATCCTGCGTCTTTGGAAAGTGGAATTGGGAAAGATAGCTATGTTTATGATATCAAATCCACCTTCCATCTTCTTTTGATCATAAAAAATCAAAGTTTCTCCAAGAGAATTGTTGAACTTCATGCCCTTAAGAAATTGGTGGAGCTATACAATAAGGAATAATAAAACAGAAAAATAAAACAATTGAAATTTATGAGCAATTTTATCATAGTTGTACTATGCTTTTGAGGGAGAAACTGCAAACATGCAAAGTTCATTTCTCCAGCCTGAGAACCTGTTTCCTGTGTTTTGCGTATGGGGAGAACAAGCTCTGATATTTCAATTTGAACATTAGTCAAATGAAATATAATGTGTATTCTAGCCTTCCATATCTATTGTCTAATACAAAATACTTGTAGCACACAAATCACCTCCCATGGTTGTGATTCTTCATAATCTGATGATTTATGCCTCAATAAATGCCTGTGTTTAGATCGAAGTAAGAAGAGAGCCTGTAAAGCTTGAGCCAATACATAGACAGCATTATAGATACTATAGCTGTGCCCAGACAGTTTCATCTCAAAAAGAACTCCAGGAATATCCTGTATCCTCTCCTTTCCAGTACAAGTGTCATTGTTGGGGAGGGTCAAGGTGTGAGTTGGCAACAAACAATCAAATACTTGTTCCCAGAAAAGTGGAAAAAATCTATCTTCTTGAATCCAAGGAGGTTTTATGAACTTCAAGAATTCTTTGAACCCTGGAATTTCTTTTGAGTGAATTCTAAAGCAAATGGAACCATCAAAGAACTGCCGGTCCCATTTTTTATTCATTCCTGTTAATAAATAATCCATCTGGGCAGTCATGATCCATACCTTTCCCAACGAACTCTGCTCTTGCCCAGGATCAAGGTAAAAAATGATATTAGTAAACCATGCAATTGTCAAAGATTCTCCATAGATGATAAAGGTCTTGATCTTCTCATCAATTATGTGTTTAAAAATATTTTCCGATCTCTTAATCATCTCAATCAATTTATCCCAATAGGTTAAATATGGAATTCTTTGTGTACAAGCAGAGCAGACTCCATGCTGGGAAAAGAAAGACTCCATGGTCTCCAGAAAATGTTCTCCTTCAGTGTTATCAATAGCAAAGAGCCCAACCCACCTCCACCCAAAATGTTGAAGCATTCGGATTATCCCAATGTACTGTGAAGACTCATTTGGGACCATGGAGTAATAGTAGGGAATCTCTGTGCTATGAACATCTTGTGGGGTAAATGATCCATATGTGAGCTAAAAGAAACACATATTATGAAAATATATCAGTATCTTTTTTCTTCATAATTTCCAACAAATTTGGTGAGATTGTTGAGGTGTGTGGCCAGAGGATAGCCATTTTTTAACAGCCCCAATTGGAAAAAGAAAAAGAGAAGGGAATTTTCATGCCTGTGTTTCCAAAGATCCTACCTGTGGAATCTTGTAAAACTTCACGAGATCTGTGATATAGGAGGAAGTTCCAAAGCTGAACCCTCCTATGATAGAAATGAGATTTCTCCTGGTGTCACATTTATAATTGGGAACAAATCTGACTGATCTGAAGAGCAGATCCATTGTGGTTCGATAGGTCATTATTGCATTGTAGTAGCTATCATGTATGTAGAAGCCAAGAGTGACATTGGACAAGATTTCTGTATTCTCATTTATTTCCTTCACAGCAAAGACCAAGGAAAGGACATGCTGATAGAATTTTGTTAGCACGCTGAAAACAGGATGAATTTACGTATGTCATTAAATATTTCCTGATTATTTTCCTGGAATTTCAGATAGGTGTTTTACCCTATATGTATGCACAATTGGAGAATGACGAATCCCACTCTATTTTTAATTCTACTGGACTGCACTTGTGATTTCCATTATTGCAGATTGAATAAAAATGTACCCAATATCCCTGAAAACACTTTCTCACATAACGAGGGGGTCTCATTATGAAATAAAAAAATCTACTTTTCACTTTATTCATTGCAATTCCTCTAACTACATAGAGATGACACAAAAGTTGTATGATAAAAATTACTTACTCTGGATGTTCAAAATACTCCTGAGAAGGATGGTGTTTGAATGAAACTTCATTAAATTGGTAGTTGGCCATGGATACCATTCCACCAAGGATTAAGTCCCCTTGCTGGTACCATTCATTTGGAACAGGTAAAGGTTCACTGGAATGACATGGCAGAGACTTCACTCTGAAGAGTGGAAATAGGATAAGAATAAACATTCTGGGCATGAAATGCTCTCTAACTACGGACTTTCCACAAGCAGCAACTTCCCATGTTAGTCACCAGCCTCAATATTCCTGTTAGGAGCAAGGCTGAACCTTAACTCTTAGCCTGATTCTTACTGCATGTAATGATAATACTGAAAAAGGTCTGAATTAGCAATGTAGGATTCCAGCAACACAATTTAATTTGGGGCAATTAAAATCACAAAGCTTGTGTGTTGTTGTCTTCTCCTCCCCAGTGAATATAGGGAGAAAATTATCACCACTGGAATAATTTCAGGAGGGAGATAATTATGTCTTCATTTTTTTCTCTCCCATGATTGACTCCGTGTGTGTGTGTGTGTGTGTGTGTGTGTGTGTGTGTGCGTGTATACACAGACAAGCACTATACAGAAGCCTGATGATGGCAGATGAGATTCTGCTACATACAGAAATATTGCTACAACTTTGAAAGCACAACTATAATGACATGGGAAAATACCTGAACAAAGCTGAATACCACACACACACACACACACACACACACACACACACACATAAATATAAATATAAATATATATGCAGGTCTTGGCATGTTTGGGTCTTTTCCCATGTAAGATTGAGAGTATCCTGGTGACATTTCAATGAGGTCCCACTTGCCATCTTCAGACTGGTTCTTTCGCCTATGTGCTTGTGCGAGCAATGCAAGCATGTATGTTTGTATATATACACAGATATATTCATACACACACACACACAACACACACACATCTGTGTATGTGTGTGTGTGTGTAAAGAGAGGTTTGGAGGAAAGGGAGATATTTTATTTTAATATCTCTTTGAGACATAATAATTGGAAAAGTTCAAAGGTAAATTTCAATTCATCTTGTAGTTGCACTTTGGGTATTAGAACTTTGGTAATTTTCCACTTTTCAGCTAAAAAATATTTTATGTTCATGCAAGATTCAATATAACAAACTCTGGACAGAGTTAAGCAAAGTACATTTCTGGGGTAAAATGAATTATTAAAAATATCACTTCCCTGGGTATTTTGTGAATAGAACATTGTCCCATTTATAATTTTTAGGCCTTGTTATGTTTTCATATGAATAACACAACAGATCAATCATGTTAATCTGCAGAAACTGATCCTAATCTATCTGGAAAGGATTCTGGCCTGAATCCTCCTTGAAAAGAACCCGTGTAATCTTCTTCATTCAAGGCCTTCTGAACCAGTTGTGCAGGTAGGTGCTTTACCAGTAATGGGATTCATCTGGTTCACATTGGTTCAAACCAGTTGTTAAATTAGTCCCCCTTCCTGCTGTCAAAGTGGACCCTGGGCACTGCACTGTGCTGCAATGGAGAAACAGTCAATGGAGCAGTCGCTATGATAGAAGGAGAAGGCCGCTTTCCCTCTTTCTTCTCTCTGCTCTTCCGTCCCTCATGCCAGCTGCTCCATTGCCTGTTTCTCCATTGTAGCTCAGTGCAGTACCCAGAGTTGGACATCATGGGTGGCTTGTCCTGCATGTGCAGTGGAGCTGGAGGATGGGGGTGTGCTACATCTTCCATGAGAGCCAGCCTGACTCTGGGTGAACTGGTTGTTAAATTATTTGAATCCCACCACTGTGCTTTACCCCACATAGATGCATAATTGGGAAATGACCAACCCAACTGTCCTTTCAACCCTGCTATGCTGAACTAATTCTTTGGATTTCCATTGTTGCAGATTGAATCAAAGTGCTGCTAATATCTCTGAAACACTTTGTCCCACATAACAAGCTGTTCTCATTATGACAGAAAATATGCTACTTTTCTCTTCATTCCTTGCTATTCCTCTAACACAGGGGTCCTCAAATTACAGCCTGTGGGCCAAATATGGCTCACCAAAGCCATTAATTCTGACTTCATGGGACCATGAGGCTGCTCCACCCACATTGCCCTGCCCACCTGGTGGCCTCCACCCTTCATCAGAGTGCAGGACTTACCTTCATGATCAGAACTGGAAGGTAAGACATAGAACAGCTGGAGGCAGGAGAGGCCAACAATGGGGCCATTTTTGGTTGGGAGAAGGCTTCTGGGGGCTGGAGTGACAAAAATGGGATGTGCAGAGGCCCCAGGAGGCCAAAATGGGCCCATTTTTGGCTGGCAGAGAGGTACTGGAGGTGGGGAGTCCAGAAAAAGGCCCAGTTTTGGCCAGCAGAAGGCTTCTGGGGGCTGGGAGGACCAAAGATGGGACACATGGAGGCCCTGGGAGTCTTTGCATGCCCAATTTTTGACCAGGCCTCAGGCACCTCTACACATCCCATTTTTAGCCAGCAAAGTGTCCTTCTCCTGTAGTTCTGGGCCAGCAAGGCTGCCTTATCCCAATGGAGAACACCCATCCCCATCCCTGAGGAAGGGCCAGGTGGCCATCGGACCAGTGCTCCTGAGCCCCTGCTTTGGGGCTTCCTCGCCAGATCTGTGCCGAGTGATGCCTGCCTGGTCAAATTCTTCCTGACAGATGCACAGAGCCATTCCCAGAGCCTGTTGCACACATTTGGCACTTGGGGAGGAAGTTCTGTGGCTGCCAGTGAATTTCCAAAAGTAGAATGAGACTAACATGATGAAAATAAAATAGAATGGAATGGAATTGCAATAGCAATAGGATGGAGTGGGAGTGGGAATAGGATGGAATGGAAATGGAAAAGAATGGAATGGAATTCAACAAGGTATTCCAGGGCATTGCCAGGAAGATGCCCCAGGAGCCAATCTCATCTCTTTACCCATCAAACATTCCATGTCATGGTTTATCTTCCCCACCCTAATTTGCTCTGCTACTTTAGTTGTACTTGAAACCTTAATTTACCCAGAGGGGCTCAAATAATGGAAAGGAGAGGTGGAAAGGGAGGGAGGGGGTGGGGGAGGGAGATGGGGGGAGACAGAGGTGGCATTCAGCACGGTCTGACCAGTTCTGGAGAACTGGTTTTGAGTAGTTCAGAGAGCCAGCAAATTCCACCTCTGATTGGAGATTTTACAGTAGCCTTCCCCTGCCATGCCCACCAAGCCACTCCCACAGAACTTGTAGTAAAAATTTTTGAATCCAATCATTGGATGGAGAGAGAGAGACTTGTTGGTTTTAAGCTCTTAGGGGCTGAGAAGAATTGCGGCAAAACAGAGTTTACTGGAGTGGAGTACTAGATTCCTAAACAACTTAAAAATGATATAGTAAAAAGAAGTCAACCAAAAGAGCAACATGCAAACAAAAGCAAATAAAAAAACTCCAGGAGCAAAACAAATTAAAGTTTGTTTTCTCCCCCTCTCCTTCCCTCCTTTCCCCCTCCCCCTCTCCTTTCCACTATTTGAGCCCCTCTGGATAAATTAAGATTTCAAGTACAACTAAAGTTGAAGGGCAACATGCAAACAAAAGCAAATTAAAAAATCCCAGGCAAAACATACTAAAGTTTAATTTGTTTATATTGGTTAATGGATTGCTAAATTGTCCATGCCCACCCAGTCATATGACCACCTAGCCATGCACCCCAGCCAGTCTGCCCCCCAGAAGTCTGAAGAACCAATAATTGGCCCCTATTTAAAAAGTTTGGGGACCCCTGCTCCAACTAAAGAAGGAACAAAGGTGAAATATAAGAAATGCTTACTCTGGGCTTTCAAAATAGTCCTGAGAAGGATGCTGCTGAAATGAAACATCATTAAATTGGTAGTTAGCCATAGATAACATCTGACCAGTCACAAAGTCCCCTTGGTGGTACTATTCATTTGGAACAGGTATGGGTTCACCTGGATGATATGGCACAGACTTCACTCTGAAAAGTGGAAATAGATGAAGAAAGAACATTTGGGCAGCAGATGTTCTCTAAGTATACATCTTCCACAACCACCAGCTTCCCATGTTGGTCTGCATTCACCAGCCTCAACATTTCTATTAAAATAAGACTGAAGCCTAACTTACAGCTCTGTTTCTGCTTCAGAGAGTCAGTATTCAGCAGGTTCTGACCAGTTCTGGAGAACTGGTAGCAGAAATTTTGAGTAGTTTGGAGAACCGGCAAATACCATCTCTGACTGGCCTCGACCCCATCTATTCTCTGTCTCCTGAGGCCCAGCTGATTGGCTGGGTCTTCTTTTGTTGTCCTGCACAGGAGAACAGAGCTGGAAAGTAGGTTAGTAGGGTGTGGAGAGAATGGGATTTTACAGTAACCTCCCTCCAGAAGTGCAGAGGGAATGGAAATTTTACAGTATCCTTCCCCTGCCATGCCCACCAAACCACACCCACTGAGCTACACCATGCCACACCACACCACACCGTGCCTACCAAGCCATGCCCACAGAACTGGTAGTATTTTTTTTTTAATCCCACCACTGCATAGTGTTAATATTCAAAAGATCTGAATGACAATGTGAAGTTTCAGTTTCTTGAGGGTAATGAAATGATAAACTTCATCTCTATCTATCTTTTATTCTCCAGACTCTATGAGACATTCCTTTCTTTATATATCTGCTCATTTCTCAGATGTCTTCTTCAGGTTTTTACAGTTTTGATGAAGGAAACAAATTATTATCATTGGAATAATTTTAATGGGGAACTAATTATGCTGTCAGTATTTATCTAACATTATTAGCTTTTTTTAAAAAAGATGGTTGAATTTAGTATGTCCAAATTTCTTTTCTATTTGTGGCTTAATAATTGGAGAAGTTAAGATGTAAAAATTTATCTTAATGAATATTAATGAATACACCTTGAATATTAAATATTATTATTAAATGTTAATAAACATTACTATTAAATGTTGTGATTGGAAGGATCGGTCCTGTTAGGAGTTTTGAATCTGATGACTGTTAGATCGTGGATTGACGTCAGAACCAGGAAACGTTAATCTGAAGGGCAAGCCAGTTAATTAGCACGTTGCCTTCATGGGTATAAAAGGACACAGCTGAGCTGGTGCCTTTCGCCAGAAACAAAATGTCTATTTTGAATGAGGACGTTACTGCAAA